CCCAGAGTAATCGGACAAATGAAAGCATACAAATCCGGCAGATGACTGTGGAAAAACAGATCAGCTGCAGTGGCCAGGAATATGGCTTGCTGTTTTTGAAACTCACATGGAGATGTCAAAAGGGAAAAAGGGTTCTCTGCACCCCCGAACAAGGTAACGGACGAGTAGGAGTTTTCATGCTAATTATGGACCTTGATTGTTGTATCACGTGCAAAGTCTATAGGTATCGATACTCAAGAAGGGGGACCATGCAATAGGAACTTTAGCCCAAGAATAGAGACCCCGGGCTCCGGGGTGGGTTCATACATTCAGCACCATGAGTCCAAATGTGATTAAGTATCATCGGTTCAACCACTCATACGCGTGTGGTATTCAACCAGGGCACCAAGGCTCAATTCTCGGCCCTAAGTATAGTACACTCGCCCTTTTTCAAAAGACGGACCATAATCATTACTCCAGTCTAACTAAAATTTTGACCAGGTCTTTCACCTAAACACTCTGATTCCTGGTACTTGACCAGCGTGTACTCAATGTTCAGTGAAAACAGATAGGTGCAAAGTCTCTGAGGAAATCGCCCTAGTGCTCACGCTACTGCTGACTACGTAAGAGTAAACTGAGGGCAAGAATCTCTCGAGAACAGGAAGGAGGAGTGTACGCAACGCACGCTCATAATATAATTAAAACCCCGTTAGGTGTGTTGGGGGAACTCAGGTTACTTTTCTTTGAGTTGAGACTTTCCCCAACCTGGCAAGATAGACACTAAGTCACCATCAAGTAGAAATTTAGCAAGGACATAGAAGATTTTCATCAGTGTTGCCTTTCTCTTCCCCATCCAATCAAAAGTCAAGGCACAGAACACAGTCAATGGAAATCATTTCAAGTTGTATATTCCCTTTTGACATACAAGCCCACTCAGCGAGCCCGGAAATAAGCCTGCATATTCGATCAAATGCTTGCCTCTAGTCATCAACCTTGCAAGTGCATTCAATCGGGCATTCGTTTACACACACAGGCATTTGTAGGCTTAAACAGTCACGCACTCAATTTATCTCAGGACACAAACGAACTCGTACCACTATAGGCAACCATTCAATCAGGTGAGCACATGCAAGCCTACGCTCTCACACACTCATGCAGTCACACGGTGAAGTCGCACGGTGCAGTCACGCAGTGCAGTCACACAGTGCAGACACACGGTGCAGTCACACAGTGCAGACACACGGTGCAGTCGCACGGAGCAGTCACACAATGCAG